TTTGTGATCTAGCACCTTGATACTCACGAGGGTTTGCTGAGATGCAGAATCTATGACAAAGTTGCACCTTTGGCCATCCAGATTTCCTGTCACGTAGATACAATGTGTACTTGCCATTTTACACTTAGCTGTTGGGACTTTCACAATGGAGGTTGGTAGGCGTCCCTCAATATTCATTTTCAATAACTTAACATTTTTTGACTTACTTAAACTTAAGGCAACCAGAAAAATACAGAACTTTCGAGTAATGTGACGTCAATTTACAACTATAGAACTACACACACACAATATACAACTCTTACTGAGTAAAGTACCAAAATTTGTCCTAATTAAAGCCTTTAAAATAGCTACTTTTAAAACTATTGTTATGTAAACTAAATAATAATTAAATATTAGATCACTAAATGAATTAAACAACTCTTTCACTAAACACTCTTGTATTTCCAAGAATAAGCCCTCTTCAAGAAAAATATTTAAAACATTTTTTTAATAATATATACAAAGACTGTTCTTAGTTCATACACTAAGTCTCCTCATATAGTTTGTGCCAACATTTGCAGTTTTCTTGTCAGTTTCTCTTGACACAGGGCCTCTGGTACGGCTTCATATTGACAGGATCCGTTGTCTTCATCTTGATCTGGTTTTGCTTGAGGTCTGTCTTTCCTGAATATTTGTATACTGGCATACTGTATACTCTTTCTTCTGCTTGCCAGTACGTTCTTCACTTATGTTGACATCCTTGTATGTCTCATCTTCACACAATGGTCTGAAGCCTAGTGGTTCTTTATCTTCTTTAACAAATTCACTGTCTTCAGGTTATGCATCTACGATAACCACAACTGCATTGTCCATTTATACTTCAATAACTGCACCCATTATGTTTTCTTCCCTCTCAAAGTACCTCTTCAACAGACTGGCATGGTAGATCTTTGTCTTCCCACCCACTTTCACCTTATAGTGCATTCTGTTGACCACTTCCTGTACTGCAGAAGGTCCTATTCACTGCCAGGTGAATTTGTTGTTGGATGTGTGGGTTTCCAACTAATACTATTTTTGGTTATTAGAGATGTGGAAGTTTCATGTGAGAATAATCTATTAGTTGAATCTATCCAATTAATGAGCCCAATGATTAATCCATAAGCAGTTCTGGGACAGCCATCACTGGTCTACTACGTCCTTTTTGTTGGCAGTTAATATGGGAGGCATGCTATCCATGCATGGAACCAAGCTATCCACTGGGTTGAGTATGAAATGTATCTCACATAATTTGGCTGTTTATGCTCATAGCTTTCATACATACCTAAGAAAGTGTATTCCAATGTGGAATCAGGAGATCGCGAGGATATTGCCAATAACTTTGTGGAGCTACATCCAAGCAAACTGATGTGGTATTGCTTGGGTGTTAGAGATATCTAAGTCCCGAAGAAGGTATTATCTATGGCAACCAGTTTCAAAGTGATAACTTAGAGCAAGTAGCAAGAGAGGAATAAATTTGAAGTGACTGTATGTTGGAAACAGTGTTCTCACTTAATCTGCCTTGAGCAACCACGCCTCAGATATATCCTGGTACATTGTCATCATGCAAATAGTACTAATGAGTGGGAAAGGCTTTTCAGGGCGGACACCACTATACAAATGTTGCTATGTAAGGGAGAATAACCAATTCCATCCAACTGCTCAGCAGATGCAGGAGGTACTTGGCTATACTATAGCTGTTGCTACTCCAGTTCCAGTAAACTAACAGAATACAGGTTATTTTTGGTAACTGGCCTGGTGGGGTCACAGTAGTCAGCTTGTGTCAAATGATTTTGAGTCAGCCAAGCTCTTTAAAGGCTGGGTAGTGCTTGATTGTATCAATAAAAGTACACAAACATGATATCAAGTTTCTGGCTGCTACTAAAGCTGCTAGAATCTTGGTCAACCTAAACCATGTATGAGTCACTCAAAGAAAATCCACCACTCTGGTCAACTGATGTTGCTTTTGTTCTGGTAAACGGCAATTTGGCTGGTTATAAATGGAGAGGTAGTCTGTTACTATGTGTAGCTCATGTTACCCACAGCACAACACTAGTTGTCTCCATTCTTAGTTCCCATAATCTGGATTTCTTTACTTTATGAAGGACTACACAAGGAATGTTCTGCATCTAGGACCTAATATCTAAGCACATTTTTTCTATATGTGGTGACTCATGAAGGAGAGCAGAGGATTTTGGTGCTAAGGGTTGTCAGCATTACATGTTTGAGTTATTGCAATATACATCTTTAGAAGGTGACCCCATTAGAATTAATCAACTGGCCACTTGTGACTATGGACAGCTGAGTGTCAGAATTTATTGTCCTCAATGGGTATTGTGGACGTTATGTCTAGTACTGGTGTTTTAGTATAGTGCTTATAGAATCCTGACATTCCTGCACTGTTTCAATTTTGCTGTGTAGTACATTCTCTTGTAGGATTCCATAAGGGGTGTGGTTAATGTGTGCTGAATTTTCTCTTTTCCATGTAACTTCAAAATAACCTATGCTGTTTAGTGGAACCATGAAAAGGCCCTAATTTGAAGACTGCTGGTGTCTTCAAATTACCTTCTCTGTGTAATACATCACCTTTTTTAATCCAAAATGACTCTCTTTGCTCAAAGCATTCGGACTTTGAGTTCATTTGAATACCTAAGGTGTTTTAGGGAATCCCAACTGAGGACACCTCTCATCACATCCTGAACTCTTCTGGGGAGGGGTAATTATTGTTGCCCATCTGAGCGTGACAGATGTCCAGCAGACAATTGTCCATAAGAATGGGAATATGATCCAATCAGATTTCTTGTTTTCACCTTTTCTTCTCCCAACTTCACAGTCTGTGCATGTTATGAAAATCTGGGAAGTTATGGAATTTATAAACACATTTTCGGTACTGGGATTCCTATGAAAATACATGGTTTTTATAAGAAGATCGTGGAAATGTTTTTCAAAGACTAACCCCATGACACGTTTGTGCTGAGGACAAACCATAACATTGTGTTTATATCAGTTTTTCTTAAAACGATCTCTATAAAACATAACTATTAAAATGGGAATGAATAAAAACCCTATAACCCGAGCACTTTCCAATAGAGGACCTTTCTTCTTCAGGGGCAAACTGGAAATGGTTTGCCCCTGAAGAAGAAAGGTCCACCTTTCGAAAATGCTCGGATTATAGAATTTTTATTAATTTCTATCAAGACTTCTTAAACCTACGTGTTTTTCTAACATCATGAATATTAAAATGGGAGTATATGTTGACTTGGCAAAATTGATTAGTAACAGGCTTTGAACTATGTAGCTGCAATTGAAAAGGTGTCACGTGATTATTGTTTTAACAATATTGTTGCAAGCTATATTTTCAATGTTTTAATTTAGGTATTTGCTAGAGGGAACTACTAACTCGATGAAGACGCTAGACATAGAAAATGTATAATAATAGGCCTAGGATACTTAGAATGTTCGAGAATATTAATGATCGAGAAACTGTAAAATATCTAGAAATAAGGCTACGTTATAATGTTGAGAAACATTGAAGGATTGAGTTAGTTTCAGTTCATTCAATGGTTAATAAGTCAGTGAAGTATACAGATTAATGTTAGTTTTTGCTTATATTCAGCTACTAGATTCATTAGACGTGAAAGTGTACAAGTAAATTTATTAGCGAGTAAATTTCTGTTAAAAATATTATTTGTGAACTTAGACCTACAACTATACATATGTACTAGTAGCCTGTAGCAAAAGTTAAGGAAGAAATAAACTAATTTATTATCGTCATGTTGACGGGACTTCGCATTATTTTCCCCAAACAATTTAAAAGAACCTGCCCAATGATAGAACACATTACAACAATATTATTAACATAAAATAAGCTCAAGAGTTGTTTGTCAGAATTTAAAATATTTTGCTTTTAGTGGACAATCAGGACTGTACATAAACTATTTTAATGTACGTTATTCATATTATTTTGTTCTTATTTGGTATTTCTTTCTAATAAATATTGTTACATCTCTGTTCGTTTCTTAATTTCCCGTATAATTTCTTTCCGATGAAACTTCGGCGATACAAGTCCTTTCTTAAATAAAACTAGTTTATTCTTTCTCAATTCAACTTTGCAATACACTTAATTTCCACAGTCACTTTAATTTAAACACACGCTATAATTCACAGCGATTCACGCGCTTTACTTACGGTGCCTACCGCCCGCTTGACTCAACTATCCGTGTCTATATCTTCAATCTCTCTACCTGCAATTCCAGTTCCGATTAATTGTCTCGCTTTATCTGGCGCGCTTATATACAGGAATAGAGGGCGTCTAGCAAATACTGGATTATTCGTGATGTTCCCCGATCCTTCTAGAAACTCATCACGTGTTACCAGGGTCACGTGACTTCCGCTGTCGTAACACTATGAATACAACACTTAAAAGTGGTTCATGATTTTACTTGTAATTGTCATACCCTGTGATGACTAATACATGGGACAGCGCCCTTGATAACAAATAAAATTATTCAGAACAATTATTGTTTAATATATTTAAGCATTATTATTTGTCACCATGTTAAAATATGATGGTTTTATAAAGGTTAGGTGGAATGGCAACAGTAAACTGAAATAAATGTATGATAATGATAGAATGCAATTGTGTGAGAAAACCACGAGGTATATAATATTATTGATGTACAGTTATCTCAGTAAAAAACACACGAGTGTGAATCTTTAGTTTGTTGGCATGGTGACATGTCTCGTGATATATGTATAGTTAACTTTTTTCCTTTTATTATTATTATTTTGCTTATGGCAACTTGAAATGATAAGTTCAATAATTATTACTTGGATTTTGTTACGTGCTAAAGGTATTTTTTGCTTAGACCAAAACAGTGTGCTTAGGATAGACAATGCTTTATTGCTTGTTTTCAAACTGAAGTTGAGAAGAGTGGATATATACTTAGAGGACTATAAATTGTGACGGATTTATTTTATTATATATTTATCTTATTATCGATGTTTACTTGAATTAAATTTATATTTACAAGTGTACATAACTTATATAGTTAAATATGTATTGCGAAACTCCCGCCTATTCTCTAAAGTTGTAGAAGATTCTCGAGTGTAAGAATCAACAAGATATGTATGTATGTACATAAACACGCTTAATATAGTTCAGTATTGGTAAAATTGCTAGAACTGAAATTTCAAGAAGTTCTTCACACGCCTATAAATATAGCCAATACGACGCGCCAAAAAAAAGAAGACACTATCTATTATTAGTTTGCTATAGTCAGTGTGCTATAAACTTCGGAAGCTATAACTGTGATTGTTATAACGCTTATCAATCGGAAAACTTCAGACATTTGACCAAGAGCACTTACAAAGTGTGAACATTACAAACCATTTAACTTCAGTGGATTCTCATCAGACATTAGTATTTTTAAGAAAACATTATATAACTTCATCGTGGAAAACTCGGCGTGTGTGGCTAGTGAATAACAAAGAATAAAGCTAGCTAGCTCCCCGTTAAGCGAATCGTACCTACATCAACTCGTAATTAAGTTGCTCATCGTGAACCCTCTATAAACTATCGAAAAAGTTCCAGACTAGAAAGAAGACTTTATATTGCTTATAAACTTGTAAAACTTTTGTATATAAATTATTGTGTGTAGTAACTGTTTGTAATAATTGTTAATGTAAATTGTATTGTTGCTTGTATATTAAAACATATTTGTGTTGAAAAATAAAACTGTGTGTATCAATCTTGTTGGCAAATATCATAAATTGGATACATATCGGAATTTATTTAGCTTCTAAATCTAAATTACAATCTAACTCAATTTCATGATATTTGAAATTCTAATATGTAACAAAATGACAAAGAATTCGTCAGTAATTTATTCAGTAATGCAAGATTATTTACAAATATTTTAATGGCTGGTTTCTTAGTCCTTTCTTTGTTCTTGAATAAGTGTTTTTGCGATAGCTCAAGTGAACGTTTTGCACAGCTTTAACTACATCTTTTTTATTAAATAGAACGAAACATTAGCAAATTTTAGTGGAGTCACATTCTGTTAAAATCAGTAAATTAGGTCCTTGAAAATGATAGTTTGGTTCTGGAAAGTCCTTGCAAACCATGCAAACTTCCTGCCATTGTGAAAGCAGAGTTTTGAATTGTTGTGTTTCTATTAATCAAAACAGGTAGAAGACATGTGTTGAACTTACAAATACTGAACAAAAAGTGTGGGAAACTTTCCGAATAAATCAACGTATTTTATTTCTCAAAACTTATGTGAATCATCCGTCAATCCCAAAATAATGAAGTTTAAAGCTGCCTACGTATCACCATTAATAAATACCAATAAGTATAAGTGGTTTGAATTACTTACTAAAGCAGATTCGTTGCAAAAAAGGCCCACACCTATATCATTAAAACAAAACAACACCAAAGTATCTATAATGTACAAAAAAATTAGCAAAACATGTGTTCAATTTAGATAGGATTTCTACCCTTTTTGTTGCGAATCCACTCATATTGTTTCTCACGTAAATGTTTTACGTAACTTGATGGAACTGCAGCCATTTGAAGGCAAGTTAGATTTGTTTCTCTTTCAGGCTTTAAGCGAAATCCTAGCACTTTTGTGGACGAATGTTTAAACGGTTTGGGTAATTCCCTGCTCACTTGTACCTTCAGAACACATTCTTCAAATAGTTGTTTGTTGAGTTGTTCAAGCAAATTCACTTCACGTTTCATTCTCTCTTGTCCAAATTCGGTAATCCTTTTAACTAGTTTTTCTCTGAAATAATCATATAGAATGGTATCGCCGACATTCCAGGCTTTAATGCCCTCCTTTACTTTCACTGATAATTCATTTTCCCTCCAAATATCAATTCGGCTGTTTCTTTTGAAAGTAGTCACATCTCTTAATTGCCAACACATTAGCTCTTTAAGTAACACTATTGATTCACTCATCATATCAGTGATCATTACTAGGTCAAATATTTGATCAATATTTTTAACTTCGTTTTCAAAGAAACTTTTATTCTGACTGTATTTTCCATCAACTCCTAGGTCGTAAAGTTGCGGATTCCGTACACGGAAACCAAAACTTTTACGTAATAGATGCATTTTATTTATCAGGCTAAATTCAGACAAAGACATTTTGAACCTTCTTCGAAGTTCATAATAGTTGTAGATAGATTCGAAATGAGCACTTGGTTCTCGAACTATAGTGACATAAACAGTGTCAGGAGGCATTACTTCATATAAGTCTTTATAAGCAAAACGAGCATGGACACAAAATATATTGAAAATGCCCAAATTGGCCCATGGTAGAGATTGTACAAATTCTTTAGAAAGAGGATTATTGTTAAAGTTTATAACTTTCTCAGGTATCAGAAATGATAAGTTGTTGTTGTCTCCATATCGCAGTAATATGTTTTGAACTGTATCAGAACCACATTTATGATTTTTTGAAAATACTATATTTTTCTTTGGCTTACATTTGCTGCGTTCTTCAGAGAGTTTTCCAGAAATGTTAAGGTCTTTCATGATATGAAACCTTTTAAAAGAACGTCCTTTCGCCTCCAAATTCCTATATATAGATATACAAAAAAATAATATAAATAATTAAAGTACGCTGAGTGGTCACAAGTAAATAGACACCTAATTTT